TGAGGCAGTTTTTATTTCCTTGGATCCCAACTACTCTGGGAATCCTAGAACGACGTGTTAGGTGAGAGGAAGTCAACCTTTGATTTCTGTCACTGAGCAGGCAGAATATGCTTTTATGTCTGCCAAAGCTGTTTTACTCCGTAATACTAGGTCTAGCCTTCTGAAAACTGCAATTACTTCTCCCTTTCCAAGAATTTCCCGTTTGCTGACAGCTAGTGAAACTAGATTCCCAAACTGCAGAATAGGCTGAAGCAGTCACGGTTTGTCAAGGGTTAGGGTTATTTGCTACTGTCTAAAAATGTGGTGATAAGTACAGGTACTGGGAAAACTTTGTTTTTTAAATATCTGTTTTCAAGGATGCCTGTTTGCTATGTAAGCAGGTTATTGATGGAAATCACTTTTTACTTAGCCTTCCCAACTGCAACTAAGTTCAAAGACTCCTAGAAAGGTGTGCCATACACACACGCATATCATTACCAATTGAGGTATTTGTTTGAAAATACTTGTTCCCAGCTATTATCCTGTAAACCATTTCATCTCAAGCAAGATTTCAAAACAAACTCTTTCTTCAAATGTTGCAGGAACAGCTCCTGAAAAACTAAGGGTCCCTGATGGCATAAATTGTTCTAGGCAGCTTGTAGTGACAAAAGAACCACCATGGTCTGATGGTTCTCAAATACATGTGCCACTATGGATTATGGTATCTGCATGAAAAGAAACCTGTATAAAACCAACAGCAATAAAAGTACAGTGGAATTGCTGTTGCAGGCAGCTAGTGGAAGGGCTCTAAAAAAAAAAGTAGAAACTGAGATCCCAAAGACCACACAGGAAGCCAAGGAAAAACGTTCTCCATCCCAGCTAAACCATGTTAGAATAGCGGATGTTTTTTGAGTCTTTATTGCCTTATCTCCCAAGCTTTCATTCCACATCACCTAGCATTTTCTAAACCAATGCAAAAAGACAAATTACACACCTACCATCACCACTTCGATAGCCCAGAAACACTGCAGGATAATTAACAGTTCTTCAGTTCTGGCAAAAGAAGAACACACTTTATAGGATAGGGACAGCTAGGTGAAGCAATCTGCTGCTGGAGCCATAAATCTCTCTGAACGTGGCAATAACTGAGAAATCCCTCTGAACATGGCAATAACTGAGAATACTGCTTGAGCCTCAGAGAAAAAAACCCAGGCCTTAAAGAACTAATATGGTAAGTAAAACTAAAATAAGGAGGCAAAAATGCACAGACTTAAAATTCTGTAATCCACTCGGAAGATCACATCGTCCAGACTTCAGTTTCACAGTTTTGAGTCTACTCTGTGGTCACACATTTCCCTTGGTTTTAGCTTTAGATTTAGCTTAAGATTTCTGAAGTCTTCCTCGCCCATAGCAACTGTCATGCATAATTTCTGGGTCAGATCAGGACGTTCACTTTCCTTAGCACGTTTCCTCTAAAATTCCTGCTCTGCCTCACTACAGAAGACACTAGATCACTGAGTTGAACAGGGGACACTAATCAGCCAAGAAAGGGAAATAAGTAAGAATTAAGGAAGCTAACAACCAAAAGATGTTTCAACATCTGTACCAGTAGCTCAGATACCCATCTTATTTTCGTCAAGCCTAACTCTGAAGGAGTGCATCAAAACAGTGGCAAATACAGGAGGAAGAGGAGAAGGATCTTAACTGCAGGACTGAAGAACAGGAAACTTTGCCTGTTTCCTCATGTTTTGCAAATACAAGTGAGACTGTTGGTTACTGATGGACCCGTTTAGATACTCACCCAGCAGTGAAATAACACATAAACCCCATAAAAGCTCAAGGCAGAAAGACTTGGTATAAAACATCCAACAACAAAAGCAAGCTCACAAACTGGCTCTTGCTAAGTGTGTTGCATCTTCACTCTCCCTCGGTTATCATCGCAATAAGAACAGCCCCCGCAGAGTATCAACATCCATTTAGCACTTGCTCTGTTTAACAAAACCCTGACAACTCCAGATTACTGGCCACAACTAGGAAAAGGGAGCTTTGCAGAGATCTCCTATGAAAGGCCCAGGAAGATCCCAGCTACAGTGCTGCTATTCTCACCTATTTCAAACAAACTCACAAAACATTTCCTGCAGCAACAGCATGCACAAGCCAGCTAGGTCCGTCTGCTAATTTAATTTGAGGGTAATTTATGTAACAGATCAATTGATTCTACAAGGTTTGGTTTGAGAAAGGGAGAGTAATATAGTTGTTTTGTTTCCTCACTTATGCGAGAGAACAAACGGAAAGATATCCATAGGCCAAATATCCCTGCTAGGTTCATTTTACAGGCTCCCAGCCTTTTTCTTTTCGAAATGCTGTCATAGAGCTATCAGTTGACACTTGTCAAAACTGACATTACAAGGCATCAAAATTTAAAGTAAAAATGTCAGGGAGATATTTTTCTCCACAGTTCTTAGCTTGTCTCAAGCACAAATTTTAAGGCAATTTTATTCTGCATCACATGACCATCAAGCAAAGACTTCCCATCAAACATGCTTCTATTTGAGTACTTGCAACTTTCTGGACGGGAAAAACCTGTACTTGTAGACCCAAACAGTTCATATACAAAAATATATATATGTGTAAAGTCAAAGTATGAAGATACAAGGGCTAAACAGATTAATACCTGCTCAAAAAATCCTGACCAAAGAGAGATCAGATTAATGTTGATTCACATGAATTTCCCCCTATGCTACTTTCATGAAAGAGACCTGGAAGTGTCTTCTTTTAGCCATAAGGTTTTTTAGAATACGTATGAGACGACCCAACAAGTTTGAAAGTTTACTTCCATTTTTTTTTCAAAGCCTAAATCTCAGAACCTAAGTAAACACCTACATATGAGCATACGTATACAGAGAAAACTCCCGTTTGTCAGGAAACAAACTGGCCTTAACAGACAAGTGAGCTGGAGAGATTCTGTCCCTATTCTGGAAAACCTTGACTCATTCCAGCTCAACGCTGGATGTCTCCACAGAGACAAAAGCTGTCTTTTCTAAGTCTAAGACTAAAATAAACCTAAAGGAACAGCTGGGAAGAGCTACAGGACAGAAATCAAGGCATTCAGTTTATGTTTCACTAAATACATATTGATTGAATTGACTTTGGGTTCGTGTTTCTTTATATTAAAACCACATCTCTATTACTAAAGAAACTCGATTGTCACCAGCCCTAAAAGTTACTGTCTAGAAAACATCTATACACCCTAGAAATTAAGACCATAAAAAGCAGCAATTATGCACCATCAACTAGTTACTCTTAGCTTGCAAATCAACCCCAGAGCAGCTTTGTTTGAATACTCCAGAAGCTTTACGAAAAAGCTTTTAGCATACTTAAACTCTGCCTGGGGCCAAGACAGGAAGTATGCCCAGTCACAGCTGGACACCTCATGTGATGATGGACACCTTATCTCTGCTTGGTGCCTCTGTAACAGCCCGGAACCAACAGCATTCAGGCTACGTCCTCTGATACAAATACAGATTTCCACTTAAGCCAAGACTTACCAGCGATACTGCAAAAGAGCGTCTCGATAGCTTCTAGTTCATCACTGCACAGCACAAAACCAATTTCTGCTACAAACTATCATTTGACTTTTTATAAAGAAAATGTGAATAAGCTTATTAAATGTACTGAACGTGAACTAAAATACTGGAAGTGGACGAAAGTAGAAACTATAGCCTGAGGCAAGCACTTGATGGCTAGAAAGCAGAAACGCTTTGGAGGGAACAGTATTTCCCCTCCTTCATTGCTTCCCAAGGAATCTTGCTCTCCACACATCCCAAAAGTTCCTAAACTGAATCTGTCCAATCTAGGGATAGAAACAGTGACCAATGATTTCATAAAAATACCAAAGACTTCAACTGCCACCTTGTAGCCCACTGAGTGGACAGAAGAGCAAACTGTACACACACACTCCCCAGAACTACTGCTTCACCTTCAGACTTAGAGCGAAACTGTAACAATAACAAATAAGTGCAAAGAAAAATTACTCCTTCCTGGGATCTGCTATCCAGCATTCTGAACTAGAAAGCAGAAGTTTTAACCTAGCAACAGAAAGATTCAGAGACAGAAAGGGTATCAGAAATCCAGCTTTCCACACAGTCTGAAAAAAACCCAAAAAACCCACCAAAATATTACCTTCTGGCATTCTTTGGAAAAAGGGTGAAGTCAGCTTTTCTCACAGGAGATACAAATATATGATTTACTAGAATGCAGACACCAAAGAGCAGAAAATAATGCTTTTAAAATCTTTAGGGAATTGGAAGCATAAGGTCTTTGCCTGTTCAAAAATAACAAACAACACCTGACACCCCAAAAGCTATAAATTTATCTTTAATTCTCATTGTATTGTAGTATTCTCTGTATACTCCCAACTGCACCCTAAGGAGCACTTAGTGCAGTTTTTAGTTCTCTGTATGTCTTTTAGCTCTTTTGTCAAACTGCCAGACATCAAATAGCTGATCTGAGACGGAAACCCAATACATCCCAATGCCAACCTGCAGCTTTCTTTAAAATTATTCAGACATTTTGCTGTGTAGATGTACTGTGCGGTTTCACTGCATTAGTCACAAGTTGCATCTCATTCAGAAATTGGTGACAAGTTATGGCCCAATATGAGACTTGGAATTGGAGGAGGGGAAAAAAAAAAGGGAAAATTTCAAACACTACTGTCTTTACTAGCTGTCAAATTATATATAAAAAACCCAAGCAGAACAAACAGTTTCTGATCAAGATTAAAACACTTAAGAAGAATAATAAATAAACTATAGATTATCATGTAAGTTTACACAAAGGTACTGTTCACACAGGGTCTGCACACATAGTCTTAGTTTACACTAGCAGTAATCTGCTTCACGTTAGGTAAGACCAAATGAGGCACCTGTACTTTATGGATAATAAATGAACACCTGTGGCCTCTCACATTTAGACGGCTAAGCGCAACTCTTGAACAACTAGGTTAATGCTACACTTCTCACCTGGTCTTCTTCTTCGTCCTCTTCATCTTCTGCCAAACGCTGCCTGCCTACTTCATACAGTCTGCAAACTGTATCCATGTTCATGGCATCCATGCTCCCTTGATTCTGAAGAGGAGACACCCACACAGCAGTTAGTCCCAGGAATGAAGCTCAACATTCCTACTCAAGATCTGATCTCAATCACAGAAACACTGCCAAAATTCTTCTCTCCCATTTACTATTAGCAGTACAATTACCACTAGAAACCAGTCTTTTTGGTTTCAAGGATCAGCCCAGGAGTGATGTAACTATCTGCTCTCTGCTTCTGTTATCCACAAATCACAGTCTTACTAGAAGATGTAACAAAACTTTTATTTGATCATGTTTAGATTAATTCTCACCTAACTGTAAACCACTTCCTTTCAAATTTGCCTCCCTGTCATATCAGCAAGCCATGTGCCTTGAGAGAATGCCAAAAGCCATCATACGGCAGAGTGCCAGAAGACAGCAGTCTGACACCCCAGAAAGCTCTGCTGCCACATGCCCAAAAGTAACAATTCCAGTGACTCCTATAGCAGAAAATTTTCAAATCTTGGCCTCACAACCTTGACAACCACAGGAGTTAACCACGAAGCATGCCCTACTACAAATTCTTGACTGGCTTTTTTTGGGCCTGTAAGGATCAGTGGTTCACACAGCATTAAGTCAACAGGATTTTAAATTAGTCACCACATGTACATAGTCAGATTCAAGAAACTGGGTACTGACAAGATATTATTGGGCAAAGAACTGGATCCATTAGTGTACTTTTACTTCCCCCCTAACAAACCAGAAGTTTTACTCAGTAATTTTTGCTTCAAATTCTTAGTTTATGGGATTTTGCTAGGAAGACAAGTGAAAAAAAGAACAGTAAGTGATCCACAGAAAAGCTCTACGGGAAGCCCCAGGAAGATGGTATTTTCCAGTTATTCGATGCAGTGCAAATTCTAACAGGAAATTATTGCTATAAATAGGAAAGAACGCATTTCTCTTTATGCTTATGAGAAGGAAAGCCTCTTCATACTTTAAAGTGGGAAGCGTTTGAAGAAGAAGAGAGTCAAATGTGTTTAGAAGTTTAAAGAATCAGAGGCAGAAAAACAAGACTGCTGTGCGTGGACAAAACTAACAGCATCTTTACCATCATCAAAACACCACCACTGCTTAGGACATGAATTTAACAATAGGAACTCCAGAATCACCACTTCTGAAGGTTTTAAAAGGAAACACGAAGCGCTGCACTCAAACCACAGCTACAGAGACCAGAGTTTATTCTTAGCTTGTTTACCTCAATGACGGCCAGATAGCAGTCCTTGCTGTCTGTGCACAAGTCAAAGATATTCCGCTTTACATCTATGGTAGCTGGAAAACATCACAAAAACTCAGTGGTTAACTGCATATTACTTCATGCTCACTGAAAGAGAAGATAGAATCATAGGATGCGTTGGGTTGGAAGGGACCTCTAAATGTCATCTAGTCCAATCCCCTTGCAGTGAGCAGGGACAGCTTTAACTAAATCAGGTTGCTCAGAGCCCTGTCAAGATCTAACAATTATCACCGAATCATAGAATGGCCTAGGCTGGAAGGGACCTTAGAGATCATCTAGTCCAACCTCCCTGTCATGGGCAGGGACGCCACCTCTCAACTAGACCAGGCAACACATGGGGACCGAGCAGGAATCGAACCCACGACCTCGATGTTGCCATTGTCAGCACCGCGCTCAAACCACTGAGCTAACGCAGATAATAAAATGTTAGTACCAGAAACAACAGCTGAAATAAAAGTGAAATGATCATTTGTAATTAATTCAAACTGTAATAAAGAATAGAAATGGTGGAGACTGTCATAAAAAATTGTTATGGGGACCATAACAGAAAATAGCCTGGGAAGTTCTTAACTTGCTCTGCACAGTGCCTCCTCCCTTGATAACACATTTATGGTCTTCTCTATGCACAGTGAACAACAGATAATCTTCCAGGATAGGTGGCAACCAAGAGACTGAGTTGTGAGCCCTTTCAATAGCAAAAGCCACATTTGTTTATGTCTGCAGCAGCAATTAGCTTAGCTGGAGGCCAAACCAACAGCATTTTGAACTACAAAGCATAGGGAAATGCTGTTACGAAAAGTAAAATAAAATCAAAACGGGGAAAGAAAAGAAGGCCTTTCATGAAGTAACATCAACGACATCTTGGCCAAATGACTTAGTATCTCAGATACCTGCTTGGAAAGAGGGAAGGAATATAAAGCTAGAAGTAGTAAGTGAATCACACGCTAAACAGAATATGATACCTAAACCTATTTCAGTGTAAAACCCACTCTTGTGCTTCAATCAGAACAGGTCATAGCAGAATTTGCTTTGTCGCACAACCAAAGGAGAGGAGGAAGTCAATGTTACTAAGCAGAACTTTCAAGAATCCTTCAAACCTCCAGGCCAAATTATTTGCTCCTCTCTTACTCTTACCTATAGGTTTATAATCGGTTGCATTAAATGTCCTGAAAGAAGAGCCAAAGGGACTTCTCATTCTCTCCTCCAGAAGGTCATCTTCATCATCTGCCTGCAACATAGCTGATAAAAGGAAAGATTACTCCACCTTCCATTCACCACTACAATTAATCAACTTAAAAGATCAACTCAGACTCTCCCATTAATTTTTTTTTATTTAATAGCTTGGCAAGACTCATTTAATATCTACTCTTTGAAAGCTGCCTTTATTAATACTGCAGATCATTGAAACAATACAGAGATCAAAACTATTTTTTCAAGCATCATCAGATCTGCCAACAAACACATTTCCTTTTTCAACAGGTTGATTTTTAATCTCACAAATCAGTTGTGATTTTGCTGATGTTAGAGAAAACTGTCTTTGTTAGCAATATATGTAGCATAAACATCCTGAAAAAAAAAACAGTTCACACAGGCTGGTAAGTTCTAGAGTTAAGACAACCTCTACTCCCATTTCATTGAACAAGCATCTACTTATCTCAAACCAGAGGTAACCAAGGAGAGTAATGTAAGACTGAGAAGTCCTACCTCCATACATAACTGTGCCAGTATAGTTGAAGACCACACGACACTGATCCAGTGCAGGTACTGTGTGTAACAAATGGAAGGTTCGGAGGTCCCACTGAAAAAATACAGGCTAAGGAGCAACAAACAATTGAAAGTTTCTACTTCCCTTCCAGTGCAGCGGCAAACAACTGATTAATTGTTTTCAAGAAACCTCATTGCCACCCTCTTGCAAATGTGACAAACAAGAGTCAGATTCCAGCACCACAATCCCCTCTGCGTGTTCAAAAAGAATGAGCTCTTCCTGAAAACATCATTCCCAGACACGAGAGGTTACTACGATAGCTTCAAGGTCGATCTTGGTAAGGGATGTGAAGAGAGCAAAAGTACCACAAATTATATTAGGAAAGACAATATATCTCGCTCTCTGTTAGCGATTTCCTCTAGGCCACGTCAGAGGCAGAATCTAGATTTAAATTAGCTGGCTGCCTGACACTCCCTTCTTCTTACTGGACTCACAGGTGAAAACTGTTGTTGCCATACACAACCTGTAACACAGCAGATGATTTACACAACTTCTGCAAACAGCTACTTCTTTATCAGTACAAATTCTTTAGGTCCCAGCACACACAAAGGATACAATTTCTGTGTTGACTATGACCTCCAGCCCATTGGGATGGAAAACACCACTGATGGTCATGTTGAATTTGTCAAACTTGTGGATGGCTTGTGCCGATCTGACATCCCAGAGGACACCATCATTTAGGACAAGGTCATCAGTGGGGTTAAAGGTGGCACAGTTCTTCTTGTAGTTGTTGGCAAGATCTGGGTTAAACAGAGTCAATAGCTTGTTGCCAGTCTGAATATCATAGATCTTTTAGATTAAGAAGAAAAAAAAAAAAAAAAAGATTAGTTACAATCTGTAATACACCTGAACCTAAGATCACCCCATGTTCCCCCTCCTAGATTGTTTCCAGGATCACCTCCTTTCCCATTTTGCTTTTCCGTTTCAAGTGAGAGCATTGCCAAGATAACTCTTACTACCAGTCCTTTCATAGCTTTTCACAGCTGGAACCCAGCCTCCTAACATGTTTGGGCCAGTATTTCGCTTACTGAGCGGGTTACTGATATATTTAAATACGATCAGGATTAGTTCCAAAGAAACTAACTCCATTATGGAAACTGGGCTGGGAAGCTGCAATCACAAGGCACCACTTAGCCAGAAACCATTTCAGAAAAGAAATGCTGTCCGAGCAGGTGGTATTTACAAACATAAAACTTCCAAAGCCCACAGCGAGGGGAAAACAGTCAGAACCTATAGAAAAGGAGTTCAAGTTCCTGGCATTTATGCAGAAAGACAACTTTCTGAGCTTTGTCCCAGAAAACTCTTGGAAGATAAAAAGGTAAAAGGGCTTTAATTAGTACAAAGGGTTTATGACCAACTTGACATGATCTGTAACATCTCTTAGAGCCTAGCTCCTGCTCAAACATAGAGAAGATAAGCTAGAATCAGAAAACAAATCTGTTTACCAGATAAAGACAATATACAAATTGATCTGACTTTCAGATAAATCCAAGTTCAAAAACTGGGAAGTAATGGATAGTTTGCTTAAACAAGTCAGAGCAATCACTAAAATCATGCATAATTTGAATAAATTATGTTTTATGACTTTTTTTATTCAAATACTTTTTCAAAAGAGACAGAGCCTATAATGAATGCAAATTCGCACTGAGGAGCAGAAGCACTCTGAAGCCTGTATCTGTCAAGTGTACAAATATTCACACAAAACACTCCAAGAGCATTCTCTGAAAATATATTAGTAAAATTAAATTACCCAAAGGCAAGCTGCAAATTTGGGGGGACAAGATGATGAAACTTTTAACAGGCCATTTCCCACAACTCTTGACTGAGCTACTGTTTATAGTGGAACTATTATTATTATCGCTACTGAAAAATAAGGCAAAGGAGGCAACTTCAGAAAATGAAACAAACAAAAAAATCCCCCCATGTCGTTCACGACCGCTCTCAAATGAACAAAACCAAAGCAGATTCTACAATTGCCCAGAATATTAACCACAGAGGCAACACACTGAATACCGCCCATGCTATAAGTGGTTTGGAATGGTCAAGTTTATACTCTTAAACACAAGGAGAAGTTATTTAACACTTTCAAAGGTTGCCTCTAGAGCCTCTTAGCTCATCAGTTACACAGCACATCACAGCACCCACATCTGTTAATAAGTGTCCTGTGAAAAATTACATTCTTGTCACCGCTTCACAACCATGACCTTTACTGGTACTTACATGGGCAATGTCTCCTTTTGTGCCAATGACCCTATCCTGAGAGTGCTTGCTGAACTCCACATAGTGGTCATCAGGGAAGGAATGCCTGGAGATAGTAAGTGAAAAAAAAGTCAAGGAGCTGCAGATTCAAATGCCAGTGTGAACTAAACACTACCCCAAATCCTCCAGCACAGGTTTCAACAATGCAGAAAAACGAAAAATGTAGAAAAGGCTTTCCTTCACCATTTACCATGGCACACTACAATGCTAAAATGCTCCACTGGCATTTGCAGGAAAATTTCTATTTCAGACATAGCCTTTACAGCAGGCCAGCAAAAAAACCCAAACCCACACAAGTAGCAAATTCACAGACTTGTCATCAACAGGGTCTGCCATAAACACAACACTATTTAGAAGAGCAAGCAATGAAAGGCATCACGAACATTCAAACACACGTGCAGATTTGAGGTGTGCTGAACTTTTTTTCTGAAGAATGCCCTTCAGCTGACCTAAACCAGCTTATGCCAAAACTGTTGCAGGCAACTGTTGCAGTCAAACCTTTTAAAAATGAAGAGATTTCCACCCATTTTTTAAGGAAAGGAACAACTGTAAATACTGAAATCAATTTTAAATAGCTTTATCCAGGGCTGAAATAGATTGCATCCAGGTCTGAAAATTTCACCACGCAAATCACCTCACTAGTAAAATTCTCCAACTAGCTACAGAAAGATACTTTACAAACACGAGAAAAAAAATACAAACATTTCTTTGCCTTCAGGGACAACAGCGATTTCCCTGATCTATCTTGTACTAAGCAGGACTTTAGGCAGACAGAATTTAGCAAACCTGTCTGCACCCAGTAAAATAGAGAAGCTACTAAACATAAAGTAAGCACAGTTTATTTTTTCACAATAGACATTGTGAGAGCTGTGCTCTACTGTTCTTTCAGAGAGTTTGTTCTTAATTTTTCTGCATTTATTGAATGGTTCTTGTAACTGCAGCATACCCCGCAGCTGGGTCACAGTATACGTACTTCATATCAAAGACAGACTTCATTCCCCACAACGCAGACAGAGGTTGGCTCCATGTAGCAGATGTCAGCAATAAAGATCCATCCTGTATTTCAAGATGGGAGTAGAGGGGGAAGAAAGGGAAAGAACACCGGGAAAACAGAGGTTACTTTACCCATACACTTTAACTCGCACTTACAAGATGATTTTAGGAACTATAGAGGATTTTGTGCTTACTAAGCTACTCCTATGGTGATAAAGTCTAGGTATGTAACAGCATATAATATGAAGAACCCTTGGCAGACAATGAAAAACGTTACAGATAACAACGGAAACAATCTACGATGTTAATAGCAGATAAAATCAGGATAATCCACATCTGAATTTTCGTTTTGTGAGCGGAGTTCACTCTGCTCATGAATCAGCTACCTTTTCTTTCTTCCTAAAATCATCACCCAAAAGATCTCTTTCTCCAATCAATGGAGATTATATAAACTCTGCTATCTTATCTCACATTTATCTTAAATACATAGTTTAAGTGTTTTTCTACTTCCAGACATAAATTCATTACTTATGAAAGCATCCAGCCACTGCGCATCTCCTCTATTATCTTGTAAAAAAAAAATAAATAAATTCTAGAACTCACAGAGAAAGGAGTATGCTACTATCACAGGTACTTCAATGACAGGCACTGCAGGCCAGCCAGGAGATGCAGTTTAGATATACAGAACCAGACAGGCCCAAAACCTACCAGGGCTTAGGCTGTGAGAGCTGCCAAAACTCAGAACAGGTCTCCAATTACTTACCCTGGATGGCTCTAGGTGCGTGATGGCAGAGTTATGGCAATTGTAACTGGCCTCTTCCTGTCCACTGAACACATTATAGAGTTTCAACTGCCCCGTGCAAGTACCCAGCATTAAGAATCGTTCTCTTGCAGAAAACGCACAACAAGTAAAGCCACTCTCATCCTCATTTGCTTCCCTGAACACAGAAATTGGACGGAACCTAGAGAAGGTAAAAATACAAGGGTCAACTGAAAGATAGAAGAAAAGCAAAACTGAAATGCCATGGGATAATATTAAACCCAGTCCTTAAAAATCATGTAGGTAGAAATTACAGCTTTCTTCTAGGACAAGCTAAGTGTCCATTCTAAGACTAGTGCTCAAGTGAGTATGTTAGAACAGTGTTTGTAGAGCTTCAGGGTTTGTTTTGTGCTATTAAGTACCTCTGTTTAAACACATCATTAAGTTGAAGCACTCCTTCTTCAAAGCTGGAAACCTGTAATGCCATCAACTGGGCAAGTACAGACAGCCAGCAAAAGATATTTCTAACAGTTTTGAAACACTCAACACAGGAAGGCACAGCACACTGGCCAAATAACATCCTGTAATCTTAATCTCCAAAAATGACACTTGATTTCACTGCGAAGATGCTATGTGTGTCATCTTTATAAACTTTACATCATCTTTATGTATGAAGGGTTACTATTAAGGACAAGAGAAACAGGACAACTTCTAGAACTGCCTCTCAAGGCTCTCCTGCTTGTAACTGTTGAAATCAAACACTTTTCTCTCCAAGGGCACTCCACTGTGGGACATTCAAAACCTGCCTGGACGTGCACCTGTGTGATCTACTGTAGGTGATCCTGCTCTGGCGGAGGGGCTGGACTACATGATCTTTTGAGGTCCCTTCCAATCCCTAACATTCTGTGATTCTGTGAAGGCTTTTTGGCACAGGGTACATCCTGACAGGGATCAAGAGACATATTTCTTCCTTACCTGCTAAATATAAGATGTCTATCAAAGCAGCCACCATCCACCCCTCCGTACTTCGGAAACGCTGCCCTGCGGGTCAGCCGTGAGGTAAAGTTAGTTGGCGCTTGGCGCCTCTGTTTTGGCTCAGGACACTGATGGGGAGTAAAGAGAGAGAAAGGGGGGCAGGTGGCAACGGGGTTCTTGCAGCGGGCGTGCTGCTCCCTAAGGTACTCTGTGATTATACTGTCCAGTGTGGGTGGGGAAGGAAGGTGTCTGTCCAGCTGCTTTTTGATAGCTGGGCTCTGGCTGTAGGCGCCATGGTCCGATTTTTGTCGCAATACTCTGATTTTTCTGCTGTTGCAGGGAGATGGCCTCTCCCTGACAAAGCTAATCCTGCCAATCAGAGGCGAGTTGCTGGCATAAGAAGGCCCCGGAAGGGCAAGTGGACCTTGGGATGCAGGTGGCCTTGCCTGAGCATGGACAGAGGCGGCAGTGGAACCTACAGAATTGTGGCTACTCAAACGGGCTGAGATGCCGTTAGCTATGCGAGGAGTGCGAGGCAGGGTCACAGGGGAGGCAGCAGCCACAACAGGGGTGAAGGCAGATGAATGAGATGCTGCAGTCATGGGTAGGTCAGCCTCTTTCGTAAGGACAGATGCCGTTTCTCCTAGGCCCTTAGAGATGAGATGGTTCCGAATCAAGAGCAGCAGCTCCTTCTCAGGAAATGTTATCCTTGACTGGGCCACCACATCCGCTTTCTGCAACCGAGCCAAAGACACATCTGTGCCAATCAGCAACGGCTTCCCCGAGACACGCTCTATCAGCTCAGCAGCATATTTGCAAAACTTCACGTGCTCGCTGCGCTTGTCCTGAAGCACCGGCTCTTTCATCAGCTGCTGAATCTGACAGCTGCTGAAGAGGGGGAGCTTGCTGATAATCTGCCGGACAGTACTGCTGCGCGAGAGCCCCACCAAGGCTTTGCAGGCTAGCGCTCGGATCTGATCTGCGTCCGTGATTGGCATCTTTATAGACAGCAAGGACAGCAGCACTTTGATGCCATTGTTGGACTGCACCACATTCCACATCTTCGCTAACGTGTGCTCACTGCTCTTGGGGGCCTGAGGAAGCTTTCGCCGAGGAGTTCCAGAGATGAATTTGCCAATACTGGAGATCCGATTATCTGGGCCACATACACAGTTGATGATGATCTGAAGGGCTGATTTCTGAATCTCAGCATCATGGATGAAAAATTCACCCTCAGCAACTCCAAGGATGATACTAATACCTAGTGAGGGAAAGAAATAGTTTCCTTAGTACGCTAAAATGTATCTTACACAGTTCATCAGACAAGTAAGGGAGTCTCCAACAAATCTGAGGAAAAGAGGTAGTTCTCTTTATTCTAGGAATTTCTGAAGTCCTGCTAACTAGTGTAAGATGTGTTCTTCAACCTCCCTGGCAAAACGTTTTCCCACACTGATGCTCCCCCTTCTTCTCCTCAGTAAGTATGGAGTCAAACAGCCTTTCAGAGAAAGTGATCAGCCATGGCCCAGGAATGCAAAATCCAAGATACCTGGCACAGAGAAAGATGCACAGGCATGCTTCTGATTCTTACTGCAGAAAGCAACTCCATTGTATAAATAATAACAAAGCACAAAGAGAGGAAGGGGATCATGTTATAAAGGGGAAAAAAACAAATCATATCACAGCTTCCAAAAGCAGTTAGGCAAAAAAAAAAAACCAAACCACAAAGCCCCCCCAAACTTTTGTTTTGTTTCTCCCCTCACTCCAGAATTATTCCTGTTAGTTTCATGTTCACTTCAGAAGATCAAAACCCTCACTCAAGAAAGAATGGGGTTTTGTCTAGCTAAAGTTTTTGTGCAAAGGAAAGAGTCTTTTGTCTATAACAAGTACTCTGCCTGCCTTTTATTTTTCTTTTCTTAAAGAAAAAAAAAATCAGGCCCCAGTTAATGCATAAGCTTTAGATCTGATCTATGCACCTCTCATTCATTTGCATACTGAATCTGCAGGTAGGCAGAGCATAATTCAAACAGCAGTAACTCTTTATCTCCTATATTCTCAAATGCCATTTCCCCAGGAGATGTAAATTTCTGGAAAATGAGGGAACCTAATAGTCCCATTACATAAGTAGATTTGCCTTCATCTGTATCTAACAAGCTCTTGAAAACAAGTACAAGTCAAAGGCCATGCCTTCATATTTGTAATCTAACCACAGTGCTAATGATGACACAATTTTAACCACAGTCTACTCTCCCAGTTATTTGCATCCTTGACAGTAACTCTAAATACATGAATTATTTTAACCCTTGTCTCACTGTATGTGAGAAACAGACAGCTAAAAAGCATGTAGCAGAAAATACTTGGTAAGTATGTAAGTCATCAGGACCATATTCATCTTACCCACAGTGGAAACAGTAGATCCAGCTTCATCTAACACATCCACAGGTTCTGCCAGCTGCAACTGGATTTTAGGAACCACAGTCAGGATGGCTAGTACATCCAAAGCATATCGTACTGTGTCATTCCTAGAAGACAACAACAGAAGATCTTAGTAGAGGTGTGCATACAGAGTTGTTTCAATAACATAAAATAGTATTCAATCCACTACTCCAACAAATAGGAGTGAATCAGTCACATCTGATGTACTCAGTAGTGCCTTTTCATTTCAGAATGCTCCCCTCTCAGAGGGCTGGTTTCCACAGAAGGCAGTGCTCACAGGCACATCATTGCCTGAAGTCTGTCAACATTTATCCCACACTGCCCACAGGATCCTGAAAGTATTGTAAGTTTGTATTTATAAAAATACAAATGTTAAGACTTACCCACAAAAGCCTTCTAAATTAAGCTTCTAGATTTAATCTAACTCTAAATCTCCACTGGGAAACACTACTGTCTAAAATACTGTCATTAGTCAACTAGGAAGGAAGTTTTTCTGAAGTGAAGGGAAACTGGTCAGCAGCAAGCCAGACAATTGTGACAGGGAAAAAGGTATCAACTTAAGCATCAGTTTAAGAGACACACAGCTGTGTGGAAGATGAAAAGGGTTGTTAGGCAAGACATAGAAGAGCAGAACAATGCAAGAAAAGGGAGGGAGGTCTGTAAGCTTGTATGGAAAGGTAGGAGTTAACCCAGGTAGCAATTAGAAACAGCTGCAGAGAGCAAGAAACAGGAGAAGAGAAACTACCCAGGAGAGCGCAACCTGAGACAGAGAAAGTGGGAGGCAGGGGATTGCAGACAAACAACAGATTTCAAAGGCTTTCAAGTTAAACTAGGCAAGGAGTTCCTGCAGACAGCAGAAATAAGAAGGAAGGAGTTCTGGTGACAAGAATACTGTTGATGACAACTGGTTATTGCAGATGGCAACTCAGCAGAGAACGTATCTCTACAGAGGACTACAGCTTCACCCTGGGGAGCAGATGGTCACTACGACAGAGGCTGGAAGTCTGTGAACCAGGGACAGGATCCTAATGGCATTCTGTCAGAGCCTGCCAGCAGACCCCTTTGTTTTGTAACAGTAAGGTTTTTGGGCCTAAAGAAGTGACAGAAAGAGGTGTCACAGAAAGGCAACAGAGCTGCCCCCACAGCCTGTCTGCAGCCAAAACATAAGAGAAATTCAGAAGTGGCTTCATAAGGTGAGCCTCTCTACCACTTTGAGTTTAACAGCTGGTGGTGCATCATCTAGGGACTGGAAACTGAACGATGCACACTAACAATGTTCAGCCTTTTTTCCTCTCTTAAATTCTGGTTTCTAGCACATTCACATGACTCCTTTGCACAGTTACCTCTGCTCAGTACGCTTCAAATACCAGCAAATAAAAGTGATAGACAGTGTCCTCTCGAGTCAGTGAAAATTAACATCCAAACATTCCACCTGCTTCCAGGATTAAGACATGTCTTGATTTCACCCTCTAGTTTGAAGGTTTTCTAGGCTTTCTCTAACAAAAAAAGTAAATAATTTTTGAGACATGTAGAAAGTGGCACAGAACTGTGATTGAGCTCTACCACCATGCCCATTTCTCAGAAGCCAAAGGCCTGAGGCATTCTGGCTCTTCAGAAATCTCATGACATCCTCTACCCACCTCAAAATTTCAGTCCTGCTTCCCACTGTGTTAACTTTCAGAAGCACTGTGTAGCCACAGCACAGGCACTAACAGCACTAACCAGTACACACCTGTTTTAAATGTTATCAGAGTGGTAGAAAATCTAGAAATGTAACGTCCTGCCCAAAAGTCACAACTTACTGCACTAAAAACACAGGACTACAGCAAACCACTCACCTTGCATAGTATGTCTTCCAGTTGCACGCTATTGAAATGAGCTGGAGCATGAGCTGGACACAAGACAATTTGAGAAAAACCTCTGCTGGCTCCCAGTAGAGCTGTGCTGGACCATACTCAATCAGGAACTCCATCATCTCCACAATCTGCTCATGAGTATATGAACAGGCCTTCAGAGAAGTGAGTTGGAAGCATTAGAAAGAGATCACAAGGGTTATAAGTTGCACATTAAGTCCCTCACTGCTGCGATTTAACTGAAAACTGCATGCACAAAGAGCAGACTACCACTGGCTCCTGCTGATTAAGTATTTACTTTCTGGTTTATTTCCCAATTGTGAAAGAATAACAGCAACTGTCACTATAACATGCAATATTAAGCTTAAGCATAATAACCTTTAAGTTTCTTTGCAGTACTAGAAGGCTTAGGCTTATTTAAGAAAAGTTACTTCTGCTCTGCTTTTAAGCTGCTAATCTAGTAGCTACCTGACCATCATTCAAAATAAATGTCTGCTAAAATATTTTAAAAAGACTAAAAAATTTTCAATTACTAAGTTCTGACTACAAAACATACGAAAGAAAAAGAAGGAAATTCCTAACAAACTTGCCATCTAATAATGCTTTGAAAATTACACAGGAAGGCAACAGCTTATACACATTTCTTTAGTTACTGAAAATCAGTTATTTCTGCAGAAGAAAGAAGATCTCATGTTTTCTTATTTCAACTTTTCTAGAAAACCATTTTAAATTAAACCAGAAACCACAGGTAAATGTGCTCCCTCAAAACAAGCAGGCATAAAATTCAAGTGGTTTTTTTACAAAAAAAAAGAAATTTAAAAAAAATCACTTTACAGGGAGAAGAACCTCCCAGATAATTCCTAAAAACTACGGTGTCAAATAGACATCTTTTATTATCAAATAAAAATAATTTCCAAGTTTTTCAACATTATACACTTTCATATATAGAGAGATTTTGTCCTTTCAGAGATGAAAAGCACAGAAAACCCCACAGTCTCAGGAATAAGCTGCCTTTAACCTAAGTTTTTGAGAGATGGAAAGGGAACCACAGTAAATGAGCAGGAACCTTAATCAAGTGTAGTTCAGATGAACCTCAAAGGCTCTTCTGTATTTTTCCATTGCAGTGTCGTTCCGCAAGGCAGGAAAAAAGTACAAATGTTAAAATCCCTGTGCCTGTAACTTGCACACCGCCGAGTTATTACACTAGCTTCAAAGGACAGCCACATATTCCCACAGCTTGAATTCACTTGGAAAAACGCAACAACCATGTTGAAAGCTCGCAACATGCTACTCACCTTGTAGGGGGGCTGTGGATGGACCAGAATGCCACCTTCTGTGCGCTGGAGTGACTGCTTCACCTGTTCAAGTTTGATAGCAAGGTGAGCCTCAAAGTACCTACGCAAGGCCATGCAGGTGTGTTTCCCAGTCTGGCGACTGGCAAATATCTCATCATCACTTAAAAGGGCTCCTTGGTCTTCCAGGTTTAAGATCTCAAGAGTGCTTATCTTCAGAAAGAAGTGGGG